GAGAAGATGTGGCTTAGAGACCTAACAATGAGGAAGGAAAGACAAAAGTTGGGCTGTGAATGACTGTCACCGCGGGGGGGGGGGGGGGGGGGGGGGTTTGTATGTTTAAAATTGTATTTGTATCTGTATGTTTTACGCTTTAAAAAAAAAGTATAACTAATGAATGCCGATACAAAAGGCTGTATATTTACTTTATATTATTATGTATGTTTTGTCTTTTCTTGTATTTTTCTTTCTGTTTTTAAAGGTAATAATGTTTAATAAAAACTATTTTTAAAAAAAACATGTATTTTCCAAATAGTGGAATCCCAATCTATCATTTAAGCTGTGATCGTCTGTGCAAACTCTTGTGGAGAAGTTGAGCAATCTTCTCTGGGCTGGTGATTATAACACTAAAAGTGGCAAAGTTATCAGCATCTATATGAAGATATTGTGGAATAGACAACATCACCACCAGATGGATTTGTAGCTGGCTGACAAACCACACTCAAAGAGTAGTCCTTAATGGTACTACATCCACATAGAGAGAAGTAGTGGGGTACCCACAAGGCTCCGTCTTAGGCCCAGTACTCTTCAATATCTTCATAAATGACTTAGACAAGGAAATAGAATGGGAACTCATCAAATTTGCAGACACTGAACTGGCAGGAATAGCCAACACTCCAGAAGACAAGCTCAGGATCCAAAAAGATATCAATAAAGTTGAACAATGGGTCCTATTGAATAAATTTCATTGAATAAATTGAATAAATTTCAATGTGGAGAATATCAAAGTTTTACATTTAAGGTAGGAAAAATCAAAGTTATAAGTACAGATTAGGTGAGACCTGACTCAAAAACATTAACTTGAAGTCCCAGTGGATGATCACTTGAATATGAGCCAGCAGTGTGCAGTAGTGGCCAAAAAAGTTAATAAAATCCTGGCATAAAATCAAGATCTAGGGAAATATTAGTACCAGTTTATAAAACCCTAATAAGACCACACCTGAAATACTGCAACCAATTTTGATCACCATACTACAAAAAAAAATGTTGAGACCTTGGGAAAAGTTAAGAGAAGAGCAACTAAGATGATCAAAGGTCTGGAGACTAAACCATACGAAGAACGGCTGCAGGATTTGGGCTGGATAGTCTAAAGAAAAGAAGAATTAGGGGCGACATGATACCAGTCTTCCAGTATTTGAGTGGCTGCCACAAAGACGAGGAGGTCAAATTATTCTACAAAGCACCCGAAGACAGGACAAGAAACAATAGTTGGAAACTAACCAAAGAGAGAAGCAATCTGGAATTAAGGAGAAACTTCCTAACAGTGAGGACAATTAACCAGTGCAATCAGAAATTGTGGGTGCTTCATCACTGGAAGTTTTAAAGTTTTAAAGAAGAGACTAAACAGCCACTTATCTAAAATAGTATAGAACCCCTTCTTAGAATAGTGGCAGCTTGAGCAGGGGGCTGGACTAGAAGACCTCCAAAGTCCCTTCCAGCTCTATTCTATTCTGAATTCTATTCTAAAATTCTATTTTAGGAAGACGTAATGTTGCCAGGAGGATGAATGGGGTTTTGGTCCCCAATGGATGCAGTACTCAACACATGAGGTGTGCCTTTATTGAGTCTGCCTTTAAATACAGGCTGTTAAATCTAGGCTGTCTCATCTCCATGGTTCTAAGTTTGACCATTCTAATAGGCATGATATATTTCTAAGCTCATTCAGAGCCAGTGCCATCGGCTACATCCTGAGTTCTCCTGTATTCCTTTCTGTGGACTCCACAGCAGAACTGAGAGTGATCAACTATCCTTTGTTGTGATACTTTTGGCTTATAAATATTAGGTTTCATCCAAATTATCATCTTGGTACCATCACTATAAAATATATCTACACTTCATGAGCAAAACCAGTGTTTCACCGAGAAGGATTTCACCATCCCTTCGCCTGCAGGTCCTCCACATATCTCAAAGAGAGACTTTGTAAGCTGTAACAACTTCTTGGTGGTTGGTCAAGAGGGAAACATTATCTATTATGTCCCCCACTACTCCATTTACAATGAGTTCAGGACCAAATTATTAATGGTAAGTGAACTTAAGGGCCTCAATAAACTGAACTCTCTTCTTACAAATGCATTCCCAACTGTCATCAACCAAGTTGCTACTTTTGCTCTGCTGTCATTGAAATTTAGAAAGAAATACTTAAATTCTTAGTTGTAGCCGTGGTTTTCTTTTATTGCAACCCTTTACATCTAATACTCTTTTTATCACTTTTTTTATAATTTTACTGTTATTTGGTTGCATTTTCTGGCACTATGCTATATGTTTGCTTGTTTGTTTATCCTGCCTTTATTGTTTTTATAAATAATTCAAGGTGGCAAACATTTCTAATAATCCTTCCACTTCCTTCTTTCCCCGCAACAACCCTGTGAGGTAGGTTGGGTTGAGAGATTGACTGGTCCATGGTCACCCAGCACGCTTTCATGCCTAAGATGGGACTAGAACTCACAGTCTCCTGGTTTCTACTCTGGTGTCTTAGACACTACAGCAAACTGGCTCCATGATCTGCGACTATAGCAGAGCATTTACTTACTCAATGCCTCTCAATATTCCCAAAACATCCTTCTGCTCAGACCCAAAGCAGCCCAATTGATTTGTCTCTAAGGTAATGCTTAAGTGGGAAAGGACTGGCTTGAGGAGGAAAATACTATTCTAACCTCAGTACAGCCAAGGAGGGCTTTAGTTCTTCCCCTCCTCAGCTGGAGACAATGTCCATCTTTTGGGACCAGGTCATGACTGGGGAATGCTAAATGTGAAAGTGGGGACAGAGCCATGATCACCCAGGGGGTTACCCTTCAACTCCAGGAGGGATTTTCCTTTCTCCGGGGATCCCCGAGAGCTCCACAATGGGCATGTCTTCCTCCTCAGAAGAACCGGCACTGGAGGACTCCGCATCACTCTCAGCCAACAGGTCTACACGGGGTTTCATGCTGCAAGGAGAAGGAGATCAGGGTGAGAAGCTGGCAACCATTGCAAGATTTGTCCTTGGCAGTGCCATGGGGTGACGTCAGGCTTATGGTCTGCACTGTAGTTTTAATCCCCTTTCCTGAGATTAAGAAGTGAATCCTAAGGACAGTAACCTATATATAGGATGAGAATAAAAAGGATTTGTTAACAGGGGGAGGAAATGGCTGGAGAATAGATAAGGTAAAGGTAACATAAAGGTTCCCCTCGCACATATGTGCTAGTCGTTCCTGACTTTAGGGGGCAGTGCCCATCTCCGTTTCAAAGCCAAAGAGCCAGCGCTGTCCAAAGATGTCTCTGTGGTCATGTGGCCGGCATGACTCAACGCTGAAGGCTCCGGAGAGCTGTTCCCTTCCCACCAAAGAAGGGTGATTCTCTTCAACTGATGGTAATCCTTCCAACCTAGAGTCTCACTGCAACTTCTTTTGCAAGCTCTACTGAGAGGAAAGAGTACTACAAGTATTTCAGCAACTGAATAATTCCCAATCAACTTATTCTCAATACACTAAGTCAGAAACTTCCTCCTCCTCTTGATGTTGATTGTCTTACCTTAGAGGGAAAAAAATGATGGAGGAATTTTCAAAACAATGAGATAAATGAAATAAACAACAGAAGATTGTCTCATCAAAACTAGAAAAAGACAGAATGGACTAAAGCCTTAAAGAGAAGAATGAGGAGGAAAAAAGAAAATTCTGACTTTTATCATCAGCTTTATAACTTATTTACTTTTACTTTTGGATTGTATGTAAAAAATGGTGATTCCAGAAATGAAAGAAGAAGAGATTCATTAGAGCAATTGCCAGAAAATGAAATTACTCCAGAAAAATTACAAAAATTGTTTGAGAAAGCAGGTACTTGACTTGGTAAAATGTGTTAAAAGCCAGTCAGTTGTGTTTGAAAAGAGAATGGAAAAAAACTGTGTGCCATGGGCCCCTCCCCCGCCCATGCACCACTTTCCTCCCAGTGTTGACAAGATGCGGCTGGCCTGGCCCTGCACAAGGCAACTGGTGGTGGTGCCAGGCCTTCTTCCAAGGCCGCTTGCACTGTTCTTGGGATGCTTCAGAAGACTGTTTGGAGCAGCCTCTGGATGAAGGTTCACAAAGGGCAAGGCCAGGTGCCTTGTCAGCAGGAGGAGCAAGATGGCAAAGGGCCTTGGCATGGGAGAGCCAGTGGAGCACAGGGCAGCTGGGGTTTTGCACTGTGACAGCTGTTTTGCACATGTAGCTGGATGGCAGCTTCATGCCATACTGCTGGGCACATGTGCGCTGCAGTGCTGCATGGTAGCTTTGTGCTGAGGCTTCCTGTGGCAGGTGGGGTGCTGGCTTTGCACCAAATTGCATGCTACTTAGGGGCTCCACTGTGCCAAGAAGCCCCTGAGAGTAGCAAGCAGCCTCAGAGCCGCCCAGTTCTGAGAGTGCTTGATGCCCTGGAAGGAAGGGTGTAGGGCTGCCAAAGCGGGGAGGAGATGGGCAGAGGTGGGGGGGATTGAAGAGCAGACAGTCCCTTTCCTTATAGAGACTCAAGATTCGGAGCTGGGAGGGACCAAGCTCAAAATGGCTTGGATTGGGGTGGAGACCCGCAATTATCGGTTAACAATGTCAATGGGAAGCCATTGCTAAGCGATGTGATCACATGATATCTCACATCACTTAAGTGACAGAAATCCCAGGCTCAATATGTTAAGGTGAATATAGATTTTAAGAATCATTGTACAGGTAGTCCTTGACTTACAACAATTCATTTAGTGACTCTTCAAAGTTACATTGGCACTGAAAAAAGTGGCATGACCATTTTTCACGTGGTCACATGATCAAAATTCAGATGCTTGGCAACTGACTCATATTTATGATGGTTATAGTGTCCTGGGATAACGTAGAAGTAGAAGACTATATGATAAAATTGACTAAGTACTGGTATACTGATGGAACAAAGGGAAAATATGGAATGCTCTACCTGATTCACTTGTTTCAGCTACAAATTTTCAGTTTCAGTCACAAATTGACTTCCGTGGACCTTACATCATACTTAAGTGGTTAGTAGAGAGGCGTGCATAAGTTCACTAAAGTGCCTATCGTCCCTGTCACTGTATTTTTATTCTTTTATTCTTGTTCTCATTTTTGTTTGACAAATTCTAATAAACAAATAAATACAAATAATAAATGTTATTACAAAGTTTGAAAATTACATTATATTATAACTTAAAAGAGAATCTTTGTAAAATGATGTACTATTGCTATATGACCAGAAAAAATGTTTAAAACATATAAAGATACTTCAATTTATGCTGGAAATGTGGAAAGCATCATGAATGGTCATTTTACATGGTATACTTATGGTGTACATGGTGTACTTATAAAAAAGCCAGAAATTTCTGGGTTCAAATACATATGATGATGCAAAGAATTTTAAAGATCAAAATTCAACTGAAATCAGAATTGTTCTTGCTGGAATTAATAGGCAATCAATTAGAAAAGAGTCACGGAGGAATATTTTTACATATGATTTCTTCTGCAAGACAATATGTACAAAAATGGAAAGATTCCAAAATACCCACAACGGAGCTTGGTGAAGATAAAAGAAATAGTAGAGATAGAAAAATTAACTTATTTGCTAGGCAAAAGATCAACAATTACTTTATCAGTGACTGGAAATGCCTTATGGACTTTTTGCTAAAAAAAGAGAAAAATAGACTTGTGATCCAGGGATTTGAAGATTAGAAAGGGAAGCTTATGGAAAGAAGGAAATTATGCTGCAACTTCAGATAGAGAAGATAAGATATAAGTACATTTATAACCACTGTTAAAAAGATCAAAGCTGCCTTTTTATAAGTTGCTCTAATGTAATCTAATATTTTTTATTTTTTATTTTTCTATTTTTTCTTATTCACTATTATTACCTTATTTTATTTATTCTTTTCTAATATTTGCATTGTTTTTATTTTGTTAAAAATTCTTCAATAAAAATTATACTTAAAAATAAAAAATGAAGCAAATTTCTCTTATAGCTGGTTGTTCCAGGAAAGAATGTGAAGACAAGTAGTACCATAAAGATCCCAGGGCAGTTGACAGTATAACTCTTTCTGTATTCTAGGGAGCTTCTTAAAGGAGGATGGCATCTGTTCTGGGAGTTCAGCTGGCAGCTTAAAAAAGGGCCCAAGACATCTCACCCTTTTCTGTCCTTATCTGCTTTTCTGTTTTCCTCCTCCAGGTCTTCTTTGCCTAGTTTATACAAGTTCATCTTGGTCTCCAGGGTCATCTTCAGGGTTCCTTGATAGGTCACTTCCATATCCACCCAAAGGCCTGCAGAGTCGAAAAGAAGGCCGGTTACAGGTTATGGTTTGGCTTCTGGGATTTGATCTGGTGCCAGCTGGGCTGGATTATATCTGAAATGCATATGGTTTATTATAGAACAGTGTTTCTTAAACCTTTTCTTTCTCAGGACCCCTTCCCACATTTAAAAATTATGGAGAACCCAAAAGACCTTTTGTTTGTGTGGGTTATATTTATCAATATTTACTATATTAAAAATTAAAATTGGCACGTTCTTTGCTGTTACCACTTTTCACAATTGTTTGAAGAGATTTTAATATTGTATTATTTTTCAACATAGGCTAACAAATAGTTTTAGTTTTATGGGCACCTGAGAGGGTCTTAGGGGATCCCAGGAGTTCTAGGACCATACTTTAAGAAGCACTGTTCTAGAAAAATGGTTGGTGGAAGAAGGACAACCATTCCTGGCTGATGAACTACTTCAAAGATAGATCAGGGATTATGGCTCTATTCTGAACACAGAAAATCCCTACTGTAGTTCTGTCCTCCCTTCTCTGGTTGAACATCTAAGGTCAGCAAGGGCTGATGCATTTCCTGCCTCCAAAGCAGATGGTTGATTTCACATAGCACTTTAGACACTATGCTTGCTCTACTTTAACTCCGCCATTGCTATTTGTAACCATGACTCAGTATACTATAGCTTTATTCCTTAAATTATGGCTAAATAAATCACGGCTAACAATGTGTAAACCCACCTAATGGTAAACCCACCTAATGGTAGGCTATGTGAAACATTGTCCTGGTTCATGTTTCATGTTTAATTCAATCATTTTTATTTTGTTTTGGTATAGTCCTTAATATGTGGACAGAGACATTCACAGGGAACATGTGACATCATGTGCATCATGATATTCTTGGAGAAATTATTCAGACTGACATCATGCTATACAGATGGCATCATTCTGGCTTTGATGCCTGTGTGCATAGAGGCAAGCATTGTTTGTTTGGAGGCAAACCATCCTCCCACAGGACCAGTTGTTCCAGATCCTGAAGAGGCTGCTTTTCCTGAAGGAATATGGCATATCCAGGCTGGTCCTTTCTAGAGTCTGAATAATTCCTTGTTTTGTCAATTGGATTTCTTCTTTCAGTTATAGATGTTTCCCGTCCATACCATGTTCCACTATTCCCAGCTATGCAAATATGGAACCAACAACTTGCAAAAACAAAGCTCCCTTCCAGAGGTGTCTGGAGGAAGCAACCAGACCAGACTGCTCCTCTTCCAGACATTCCTGTTAGACATTGAGACTGGAGCACTATCCAGCCACAGAGCACTGGGACTCCTACATGACCAGGTTCAAGTGTTTCATGGAGGCCAACAACCTTCTTGGTCTATCAGACAACAAGAAGAGGGCTCTCTTCCTGAGCTCCTGAGGACCCGAGCACTGTCCAAACAAACTCAGGTCCAGGCGGTCACCTGATTCATGTTACAGAATATGCTCAAGATGCACTAGGCATCCAAGTTCATGCGGTGGGAGAAATTAAATTTATGCAACCAAAAAGAAGGGGAGACCATCAACCAGTACGTTGCTATGCTTCGCAAAGTCACAGCATACTGAGAGTTCAGACACTTGGACGAGTTGCTGCTCGATCGAATAATCTGTGGACTGACAGACATTAACCTGCAGCCGAAGCTGCTGGCAAAGATGAATCTCACACTATAGATCACATTGGACGAGGCCAGAGCAACAGAATTGTCAACCAAGTTGACAGAAATTCTGCAAAAGCATGGCAGCCCGAAAAACACACATCGAGCTATCATAGTGCATCGCAAGAACACCCAATACAATTTCTCGTCTGACAGCAAGGACAAAGATTGCCGCCTTCATTCAGAAAGGAAAAAAACATTGTACGAGACTGAAGAACGTCTCCCTTCATGCTCAGGCTGCAGAGGAAACCATCCGAGGGCGATCTGCCGGTTTAGGGACGCTATTTGCCAGAGGTGCGACCGGAAGGGACATCTGGCTGAAGTCTGCCGTACAAACCTACCAGCCGCGCAACAACCCAGACTAACAACAAGCCAGCCAGGACAACCAAGGCCATCTAGATGTGAGGCCTGGAAACTTCAGCGGAAGCAAGAAAGGGCAGAATCAACAGAGGCATTCCAGAGCAAGATTTGGCAGGCCAGCATGCCAAGAAACAAGAAGCTGTGTGTAACCATCAGGATCGAAGGGACTCCATGCAATATGGAAATCGACACCGGGTCCTCCCTGACCATTGTATCCTGGGCTACCCTGAAGAAGGCCATCCCTAGCATCCAGAGAAACCAGCTGAAATGCCTGCAAGTATGGCTCAGCCATTATCAGGGAAATCATATCCCTGCCCTTGGCTGTGGCACATTCCGTGTGCAGTTTAAATCTTTTTTTTATTTTTTTTTTATTTTTTGTTTTCTATTTTCTCATTCAAAGGTTTTATTTCTTTTAAAACACAAATATTTCATCATTCGTCAATCATTAAAACATCGAAGTACACATTTTTTTGTGTGTGTGTGTGTGTGTGTGTGTGTG